TGTAGAAAACCCCCCACTATCCAATATAATGCACTGAAACCCCCCCTAATATAGTACCCCCTCCCCTTGGATGGCTGAGTGTGTTGGGAGCAGGGAGAGGCTTTATTCAGACGATCAGAGTCCAGTCCGCGCATGCGCAGTATAGGGGTAGGGAGATTTCAAAGGGCTTAATCGCCATCAGATTTCCCTACCCCTATAGTGCGCATGCGCGGTGTCTGTGAAGCGCTCCCTGTCCCCAAGTGCGCACGCGCGCTGTACCTCCGACGGGAGTAGTTTGGCGCGCGTGCGCACTGCGCCTTTATGCGACTCCTCGCTGTTCAAAGTCCCTACCTAGGTGGTGTGCGCCTGCGCGGCTGCGCACACCCCCGTCCCAACGTCACTTCCGGTGCGGCTTCGTCACCGGAAGTGACGAGGGTAGGGTTTTCTAACGGGGTAGGGAAATTTGATAGAACACCTGGAGATGTAGTCGGATTGCCGCAGTGGCTGCCGGGAGGTGTAGTCGGATTGCCGCGGTGGCTGCCGGGAGATGTAGTCGCGCAGTGGCTGCCGGGAGGTGTAGTCGCGCGGTGGCCGCCGGGAGGTGTAGTCAGTCAGTCAGTGACCCCCGTGTGATCCAGCATGGCCGGCCTGGAGCTGCTCTCCGATCAGGGTTACCGGGTAGATGGCAGGAAGGCCGGGGAGCTGAGGAAGATCCAGTGCCGGATGGGAGTGTTCGCTCAGGCTGATGGCTCCGCGTACATCGAGCAGGGAAACACCAAGGCCCTGGCTGTGGTCTATGGGCCGCATGAGGTGAGGGGGGGGGGTCCGTGAGTGTGAGTGTGAGTGACTGTGGGGGGGTCCATGAGGGGTGAGTGGAGTGGGACTGCAGGGGGGGTCCATGAGGGTGAGGTGGAGGACTGTGAGGGGGGGGTCCATGAGGGGTGAGTGTGAGTTACTGTGAGGGGGAGGTCCATGAGGGTGAGTGTGAGTGACTGTGAGGGGGGTCCGTGTTATATGGGGCTGATCATTAGCTGGATTTTCCCTGTGCTGCCCCACAGCCAGTTTCTGCCTCATTTTGTCAAATACATGGAGCTTGGGGTGGGATTGATGGGGGGTGATTGATGGAGGTGAGTAGTTGGGGGTGATTGATGGAGGTTTGATTGATGAGGTGAGTAGTTGGGGGTGATTGATGGAGGTGGTAGTTGGGGGTGATTGATTGAGCTGGGGGGGGTGATTGATGGAGGTGAGTAGTTGGGGGTGGATGGAGGTGGAGGTGGATTGATGGAGGAGAAGTTGGGGGGTGATTGATGGAGGTGAGAAGCTGGGGGTGATTGATGGAGGTGAGTAGTTGGGGGTGATTGGATGGAGGTGAGTAGTTGGGGGTGATTGATGGGGTGAGATTGATGTTTGGGGTGATTGATGGAGGTGGTGGTTGGGGGTGATTGATGGAGGTGGTAGTTGGGGTGATTGATGGAGGTGAGTAGTTGGGGTGATTGATGGGGTGAGTTGGGGGTGATTGATGGAGGTGAGTAGTTGGGGTGGATTGGAGGTGAGTAGTTGGGAAAGTGATTGAATGTGAGGAGATAGTTGGGGGGGATTGATGGAGGTGGAGTAGTTGGGGTGATTGATGGAGGTGAGAAGTTGGAGTGTATTGGGGATGGAGGTGAGAGTAGCTGGGGGTGATTGATGGAGGTGAGAAGTTGGGGGGATGGAGGTGGTAGTTGGGGGTGGATTGGATGGAGGTGAGTAGTTGTGGGGTGATTGATGGAGGTGAGTAGTTGGGGGGGGTGATTGGAGGTGAGTAGTATCTTAGCTACGTGTAACTAACTAACTGATACAACATACACATATGCCACGTGGAAAACTCGGCCTACTAAATTTACATTTCACTGAAATTCCATCACACTATCTTTCACTATTCCCTCAAACTACTGCCCCATACTCCTCACGGCTGCCCCTTATTCCCACGCTATGCGCTAACCCCCACTACAGTTCCTATCTCTCCATTACTGCCTCTAACACCAACTACTGCCCCTAACCCCAACTACACTTCCAATTACTACTGCTCCTGTCAGACCCAAGTCAAGTTGTCAAACTGTTCTTCTAATGGTTTGATACTTACTCTTGGGGGAGGGGGGGTCACCACGGTACTCCTGGCATCATAACCACTACAGAGGGCTGCAGCGGTTTTTGTGCCTGGAGTTTTCCTTTAAATACTCTACCAGTGCTCCTTCCGAGACTAGGTTCTGGATCACACCCTGCTGAAGGGGGACTGCTGTTGCGCCTGCCTTGGACTTGATGGATACCTATCAATCCCTTGCAAGGGCAGGGCAAAACATTAGATTTGGCAACTTTTTACTGCATATTATTCTGTAAACTATTCAGTCTATTCACTTTGTGATAAAATGATAACCGTTTTGGTGCTAAAGATTTAGTGGAAATACGAAATCTTATGTTATTAATTCTCTAGATCCGTGGGTCCCGCAGTAAAATGCTGCACGATCGTGCTGTTGTGAACTGCCAATACAGCATGGCCACATTCAGCACCGGAGAACGGAAACGCCGTCCACATGGTGATCGCAAGTCATCTGAGATGACGTTACACCTGAAACAGACTTTTGAAGCCGCAATTCTTACCCAGCTTTACCCGCGTTCACAGATTGATATCTACGTGCAGGTGAGATTTATCTGTTAATGGGCCTGAGAAATTAGGATTTTCATGCTCAGCAAAGAGTATTGTAAGACAAGATCCAAACCTGTTCCTACATGGTCGCTTTTTGCCTTTTAATGGAACCGTCACATTTACTATAAAATTATGTATTGGGGATATATTCATGTTACAAACTGCAAGTTAATACTGTAAGGGTCACTTTTCTGTTACTTGCCAATTCCATGTATTGGATACATATTCATTATGTCTTATTGTGCTTTTGCCCAAGCATATTTTTAAATTCAAATAAAATGTTATATTAAAGCACTAGTTTTAACATAACCTAATTCTGCTTTCTTGAAATACTTATAGTTTTGTTTATTGGTGTGATACAGGTGTCATGCACATTATTTGTTATATCTGTTACCCATCACTAATACTGAACTTTAAATATTTTGCTGTCGGTCAGAGCTTATCCGTTTTTGTTTATAAATAGTCTAGAACAGGGTTGCTCAGAAGGTAGATACTCAGATGTTGTAGAACTACAAATTCTTTGATGGCATATTTTTAAAACCTCTGGGTGTCTACCTTTTGGGCACCCCTAGTCTAGAACCTCCAGCCACCATAACAACTTCATTGAGATGCCATTACTGTGCGTAGAGTGCCTCACAATGCTGTTACACCCAACTTAAAGGCACTGAGGCGACACCATCCCATTGCACATGGCATAAGCATATTGATTACATGTTATCTCACATTACCTATTTATCCAGTTTATATTGGCTAGATAAAAAATAAATAAGAGGTTATATCCTTATGCAATGATTTAACAATACTGGTATATGTGGTGCAAAGCAATCAATAAAATAAAGTTTGTTGTTTGTCTCCTTTCACTCTAGATCCTTCAGGCTGATGGGGGTAATTACTGCACTTGTGTAAACGCAGCCACTCTGGCAGTGATCGACGCTGGCATCCCCATGAGGGACTATGTGTGCGCCTGCTCGGCAGGTTTTATTGAGGACACTCCACTGGCCGATTTAAGTTACGTGGAGGAAGCAGCCGGTGGGCCCCAGCTGGCATTGGCCCTGCTTCCCAAATCAGATCAGATTGCACTCCTGGAAATGAACTCGCGGCTGCACGAGGATCACCTTGAGCGAGTGATGGACGCTGCTAGTAAAGCCTGTAAGGATGTCTATGCTGTGCTGGACCAGGTGGTGAGGGAACACCTGCAGGAAGTCAGCACAATGCTGGGGGATAGGGGATCGGTGTAAAGGGCGACAAGTCATACGTTACATGTGCTCTTGTTCTACTGTCTTCATTTCCTGGATTTTAGCTGGCCTTAACAAAGGTCAGAGAAGAGTAATGAATAGATACCACAGGATTTATAGCTCCCTGTTTTGGGAAGTCTAACATTCCAGATGTTGACAGTTTTGTTTAAATCAAAAAAAGGAGTTATGTTTGTCAAAATATAGAGCTGTGACATTCAGCAAAGGACGTTGTTGGTTAATGTATAATTAATAGATGCTGCATCTTCAGATCATGGCTGAAATGTATATTGACAACGGTGACTCCATTTTGGCTCACCAAGTAAATGTACAAAATACTTCTACATGGGCTGAAATGTATATTATGATACATAATGTCATTCATAACTGATTTGGGCTATTTGCTGCTCAGGATTTTTTAATTTTTTTTGTTAAATGTTTTTATAACAGTTATTACATGTAATATCTCATCTATTTGCTGCACAAGTATGTGGCAGAAAATGTATGACCAACAGCTGATGCAAATGTGTTCATGGATTGGAAACCTATATTTCAGAGAGAGATTTTGGGAGATGGTGTTCAGCATCCTGCTCCTAGTGTAACGGGTAAATACACAATATATCCTTTTCCAAATCCATGCTGTCGGTGTTTTATTTAAATCTTGCATTTTAATTTCCTCTATTCTAAAGAGGAACTATCACTCACCAGGATTTTAAGAGGTTTCTCCAACGTCCATGACTACTTCTGCTTATATAAGTGGTCATGGTGGTAGGAGGCTGCATGTGCAGTGTTTCTGCTTGAAACACTGCACATACAGAAATATCAGAACTTTTGTGCCGGTGGGCTAGTTGCACCCCAGCACATGTGACTTAGGCATCCTGGATTTCTATTCCAGACTAACCAATGTCAATTCTGTGCATCTTACATCTTCCATCAACTCTCCGTGCAAAGAGCAGGTGTAATCTGCAACTTCACCTGCAGGTTGAGCTGCCTGTAATGTGAAACCCTTTTTCCCCCTTCACTTCGCGTAAAAATAAAATCAATCTCTCCCTCAGTGCAGCCTTGCCTCTAACCCCTTTAAGAACTTTATTGGCTCTGCCCTCTCTGTGCATCTGTACCCTTCCTCTTCACTAGTAGCAGATGTCCGTCCACACCATGCAGAGTTCTTCCCCCAACCTTTGATTTGATCATGGAGCCGAGCGGGGTGATGCTCATTGACAATAGATGGTGTGAAATAGATAGGAGAGAACTTGGTGCAGTGCTGGATTCAAGGTTAACTCCTTAACATAGTAAAGGAGTTTAAGCATGCATGGGATAGGCATAAGGCTATCCTAACTATAAGATAAGGCCAGGGACTAATGAAAGTATTTAGAAAATTGGGCAGACTAGATGGGCCGAATGGTTCTTATCTGCCGTCACTTTCTATGTAAGGTTGGTTTTCCCTATATTTTTTTTGACAATTGAACTTTATTGAGGATTCATGAGAGAGAAAAAGAAAGAAGGAATGGTAATAAGGGCATCATCACACAATATTATATACTATATATACAGTATATTACAAATGGAATAAAGTCTACAATACAACTATTGAATTCAAGCTCCCAGTATAATAGATCACTGTTACCCTGAAACATGTATACCAGATCTCTTTAAACCATAACCCACATTTATACATTCCATGTATCCACTCAACTATCCCAATCCAACAATCTACCGATTGGGCATCTCTTTTGAGCTACTGCTGGTATTTGCACCTGATCTCCATGTGCTCCACAACAGCCAAGTCTTATGAAAAGGTGTTTTTTTGTTGTTTTTTTTTGGTACATATACCAAAGTATACTTGCTCTCATATGTTCTGGATATCAATTGATTTCTTTACCATTGACACTGTGGTTGTGTTTGGAATTTCCATGTGTTGCGTGGTCAATATAAGGTGTAGAATCAAGGTAAACCCCAATAGCAGGCATGCTAAAGGTGTAAAAGTTATTGAAATACCAGTCGCCTCAGTATCTAAGTGATGGATGGCTTCTCAAAAGTGTCCAATCTGGGAACAATTCCACCCGACGTGAATTATGGATCCCTCCTCTTGACCACACTGCCTGCACACTGAAGACTAGGTGGGAAAAATGTTATGTAATCTAAGAGGCACCATATACCATCTATATAGTATTTTTCTCTGTTTTTTCACTAGGTATGTGGAGCATAACTTACCTTTATGTACGGTGAGTATTCTTGCCCATTGTAATAATAATAAAGTATTTAACCAGGAAAGGTACATTCAGATTACTCTGGTCATGGTGGAATTTTAATACGGGGGTCTGAGTCCCAGCTGCTGGCTATGTACGACTAATGAAAACGTATGTGTGTGGCCATTAGTTTGTGTCACGTGGAGATGGATTTGCATTCTGGCAGGAGTTTGCCATTGATACATGTTTGTTGAATAGCAGTTAATTTAGGCTAAGGGTGTGCTGCCCAATACCCTTGTCTTTTTCTATCCAATAATCAAAGATTTAGGTTGACAATAAGAATATGGAGATCTTTGACCATGTTCCCATATCAATATTTTCTCGGAAGTTCCTAAGGTTTGCAATACTAGCAGGAAAAGGAACGATTCTGCACTTCCAGTTCAAGGCTCTTCCGTTCATCCTATCATCGGCCCCTCGTATCTTTACAATGATCCTGGCTCCTCTAGCAGCAAACTTATGTCTAAGAGGTGTGACAATCGGAGCCGGCCTTAGGGGTGTGCGAGCAGGTGCCAAGGGAGCAGGGGGCGCCACGTGGCCGAGACAGCTCACACATGGCCGGGTGGGATTATAAAATAAAATATATTGTGGGGGGCGGAGCCTCTTGTGCGACAGGGCGGAGCTAAAAGTGCCAGGTACCTGCTGCAGGGGAAGGTGAAGGCGCAGTCCAGATTCAAATTAGCATGCCCCTCTACCAACTAGGTAACAACAGGAAAGGAGGAATTAATATTTGTTTTTTAATCATTAATTTAATAAATCCCCTATACAATCACTACACTCCTATACATGGATGACGGTGCGGGATTTTTCGCACACGACACCTAAGGCCAGCCCTGGTGACAATAGTTCCTTACCTGGTTCTTAAACGCAGAATCAGATCTCAATATCACCAGGAGTTTTTAAGAGATCACGGTTGGCTTTTAAACCTACAGAAATCTCAGATGATTCCCTAAACAAGGATGGAATTCCTGAGACTTCTGGTGGATTCGATGTCCCTGTTGCTTTTTCTTCCTATATCAAAGCAAAAAAAGAATAATAAAGGCAGTTTCAAGCTTACAAAGGAAAAAAGTTTGCCCCATCAGACAGGCCATGAGTGTCCTAGGACTTCTCACTTCTGAGATCCCAGCGGTTGGATGGGCAAAAGCAGAAAACAGAACTTTACAATGGAACATTCTGGCAGAATGGTCAAGAAAGAAGAAAGATTTGGATGCAGTTATCTGCCTGTCAAGCACAGTAAGAAAACAACTAAATTGGTGGAAAAATGCAAACAACCTTTCCAGAGGCCTTTCATTCGAACAGAAAAGATGGATTACTATCACAACAGATGCCTCCCAAACTGGTTGGGGCGTCCATCTAGATTTACAGTTCATTTAAGGGAAATGGACTTCGAAAGAAGCAAAAGAGTCCTCAAAACTCTGAAGGCAGTTATGAATGCTCTGGTAGCTTTCAGTCCTGTCATTGCAGACCAAGCCGTAAGGATTCTGTCTGACAACGCCACCACGGTTGCTTACTTGAACCATCAAGGAGGCACAAAAATAAATTCTCTACAGGATCTGTGCTACCATATCATGTCTTGGGCACAGTCAAAAGTGACATCACTCTCAGCGACTCATATCAGAAGTACTCAAAACGTCAATGCAGACGACCTCAACAGAGAACATTGGTCTCTAAAACCCCAGATGTTCTCGAGACTGGTATTACGATTCAGCTTACCAGACATTGATCTTATGGTCACAAGAAAAAACAGGAAAGTCCCATGCTTTGCTTCTATCCAGGCACTGAATTTTCCAGACTTCCTAGACGGCTTGTCCCTCACCTGGAACTTCAACATGGGATATGTTTTCTGCCTTGATACCAAGGATAATTCAAAAGATCAGATGGGGAAAAAGTAAGGGTTCTTGCCATTGTTTCCTTCTGGCCAAACTGAAGCTGGCTTCTTCCAATTGCAAGCAACTTCATAGAAAATGTGGATCTTCCAGAGGAGGCTGGAAATGTTTAAACTGACGGCATGGTTGCTGCAAGGATGATCCTCCGTGAGCAGGGGCATTCGGACAAATTGAGTGACGTTATTTTGTCATCTGTCTGTTCATTAACGTCTAAGATTTATGTTAGGATTTGAATAAAGTTCCTAAACTGGTGTGTTATTAAAGGCTTGGTTCTTTTTAGTGACTGAGGAACCTGGGAGGAGGTACAGGGGTTAAAAGGGAAGCAGCAGGCGGGGGTCTCAATTGAATATTTACATTTTGATGGGAGCTTCTTGTCCACTGGAGAAGATACAACCCACTTGTTACAGTACTGCCACTATACTAAGTAAAATTACTGTTTTCTGGCTGCATGGTGGAAAGGAGCATATTGTCCACCAATGCACTTTACTTTGTGCTCCCTTACCCCATCCACGCGCCGTGAATGTAGGGATGAGATCTGATTGCTTGCAAGAGGGGTTCTAAAGCCAAAATATGTTTAAAAAAAAAAAAAAAAAGGGGCAAAAAAGCCAGCGATACAAAGCCTACATCTAAAATCTGTGCTTTTGATGCAGAGTCCAGTGCAAAAATAGTTGTAATAAAGTAAGTGGGAAACTAAGTATCTCAAGCGCTGCTCTCTGTAATCTCCAGATCAAGTGGTCAAATGCCTTCTCCACATCTAATGCTAAAAGAAGACTGCCTTTGCCGGAGATCCTTAGTAACCTCATGACCACAGCTAGATTCCTCGTATCGTCCACTCCTTGCTGTCAACACACGAATCCCGTTTGGTCGTTGTTTATTAATTGCGTTAGAAATCAATGTAATCTATTTGCTTAGAGTTTGGAATATATTTTCTCGTCAATATTCAACAGTGATATAGGGCAATATTTTTTGCATAAAGTAGATTTTAGTAAAGTAATAATGGTAGCCGAGAGCATCTACTGTGGTACAGTACTCGATACTACTGCTTTGTGAAATAATTGTAAAAGTAGTTATGGTGCTAGGATCCTGTAAATCTGGTTCTCAGTAGTTCTTCTAGGGAAATAGGACGTGTCAGGACTTCAACCTGTTTTGAGTTTAGTTGAGGTATGACTATATTATTAACCGTTTCCCCCCCCCCAAAAAAGCCCTACTTGAGATTGTCGTTAGTTCGATAATCTATGTTCAGGAATTTTTACCCGTACTCGCGGGATTCCATGCCCTAGTGAACTGGTCTATGTTCGTGGGAATTCCCCTGAATGTAGACCTGCTTTCTTGCATATGCGTGCTACAGTTTTAACCCCAAAATTAAGACATACCCCGAAAATAAGCCTTAGTGCGTTTTTTTGAGCAAAGATTTATATAAGACTGTGGCAGTATACCCTTCCTAGTTGTAATAGCTCCAGAGTAATTATAGCTGCCAGTAATTATAGGTATTGCTGAAGGGGTAACCGCAGTATCACCCAAACACGAGCCGAGGCTTAGTGAAGGGTGAACAGAATCTGGTACAGTAGACACTCCCCAAAACATGCCCATAAACACACTCACAAAATGTCCACAAAATGCATAGTCATCGTGACTCAGCAAACACAGTAAAAAATATGAAAAACCATAAAAACACATTTCCCACATAGGAGCCCCCACAGTCTATACATCCCCTGATAACCTGGATTTGAGAGCCCAACTTATCCAAAAAGCGCTCAGATCCCATGAAACAGAACCGAAACGCCACCGCGTGGAAGTTCTGACTGGCCGCACACATAGTCCTGTGCCCAAAACAGTTCCAAGGCATTTTGTGCTTCTGGCCAGTCAACGTCGGGAGTTCCATGTGAAAAAAATACTGAAAGCACACTCTAGCTTCTTGGTAGCGTTTGTTCCTATGAACCATACGAACAAACCTACCGAATGGCTCTCTCCTGACCGGTGTGGGGAAGGAGCAGGCGTTCGTCCAAGTTCAATGGTGTTTGGGGGTTTCAGTGTCTGATTTTAGTCCCATGCGATCGATGCCCAAACACCGCTGCCTGAATTTTCGCAAACAAGATGACAGCCACACAGTTCCCACGCGTTCATGCATGCGAACAGCGGCCACTCAGCCGCACAATTAGAACCCACACTGATAGAATTGCCAGGAGAAGTTAACAAGGGTCAATAAGCTCAGACGTGGTGCGCAGTTCGTGGGTTGGTTCAGTTCCCAAACAGTCCAAGGGAATCCCACGTGGCGGGGGCAATTTCGCTTAGCCAGGAGGTTAGTCCTGAGCCAGGAGGCTAGCAAGCAGGCTCCTCCGGGAGCTCGTGGCGGGGCAATTTTGCCACAAAGATCCGGTCTTATTTTCGGGGGGAAACGGTAGGTATCTTGAGGAGTGGGCTGGGATATCCAGGGTCCTTAAGTTGTAGAGCATAAAACTTAGAAACGGCTGAGCAAAACTCACAACACTGCCTTCTTCATTAGAATAATTTTAGAATTCTGTCCAAAGAGAGTTAAAGATGGCAGGGAGATTCACTGAAAACAGCAATGAACCCTGCAGCTCTACATAGACATAGCTCTGAACCCTGCTTTATATAGACATAGCACTGAACCCTGCAGCTTAACATACACATAGCTGTTATCCCTGTTTTACATAGACATAACACTGAGCCCTGCAGCTCTACATAGACATAGCACCGAACCCTACAGCTCTACATACACATAGCGCTGAACCCTGCAGCTTTACATAGACATAGCGCTGAACCCTGCAGCTTTACATAGAGATAGCGCTGAACCCTGCAGCTATACATAGACATAGCACCGAACCCTACAGCGCTGAACCCTGCAGCTTTACATAGACATAGCGCTGAACCCTGCAGCTTTACATAGAGATAGCGCTGAACCCTGCAGCTTTACATAGACATAACCCTGCAAGTCTAATGTTTGGGGTTTATTTTCTAAACTAGGGATAGTGAAGTTGTGGCAATGGAGATGCAATATTTTGCTCCAAACAGATAAGTGAGAAAAACCCAGCAGCTGAAATGTATGTCCAGCTGACATTTGCAATATTCTGCTCAATCAGCTCATTGTGATCCTGCTGGGTACCCTGACTCAGAGACTGCACTGCCTCCTCCTCACCACAGGGGGCGCTGCCGCCGCCGCACAGCTAGTACAGCTAGTACTGTTAGTACAGATAGTCTCACCGCTCGCTGATCCGGAAACTGCTGCAGGTGTAGTGACAGCAATCAGTGAGAGGGTGAGTATTGTGTGTAATACAGAGAGAGTGAGTGAGAGAGAGTGTGTAATACAGAGAGAGTGAGTGAGAGAGAGTGTGTAATACAGAGAGAGAAATACAGAGAGAGTGTGTGTGTGTAATACAGAGAGAGAGAGAGTGTAATACAGAGAGAAAGAGTGTGTAATACAGAGAGAGCGTGTGTGTAATACAGAGAGAGTAATACAGAGAGAGAGTGTGTGTGTGTAATACAGAGAGAGAGTGTAATACAGAGAGAGTGTGTAATACAGAGAGAGAGTGTGTGTGTAATACAGAGAGAGAGTGTAATACAGAGAGAGAGTGTAATACAGAGAGAGAGAGTGTGTGTAATACAGAGAGAGAGTGTGTGTAATACAGAGACTGTGTGTAATACAGAGAGAGACTGTGTGTAATACAGAGACTGTGTGTAATACAGAGAGAGTGTAATACAGGGAGAGACTGTGTGTAATACAGAGAGAGACTGTGTGTAATACAGAGACTGTGTAATACAGAGAGAGAGTAATACAGAGAGAGAGTGTGTGTGTGTAATACAGAGAGAGAGTGTGTGTAATACAGAGAGAGTGTGTAATACAGAGAGAGAGTAATACAGAGAGAGAGTGTGTGTGTGTAATACAGAGAGTGTAATACAGAGAGAGAGTGTGTGTAATACAGAGAGAGAGTGTGTGTAATACAGAGAGAGAGTGTGTGTAATACAGAGAGAGAGTGTGTGTAATACAGAGAGTGTGTGTAATACAGAGAGAGAGAGTAATACAGAGAGAGAGAGTGTAATACAGAGAGAGTGTGTGTGTAATAGAGAGAGAGAGTGTAATACAGAGAGAGAGTGAGTGTAATACAGAGAGAGAGTGTGTGTAATACAGAGAGTGTGTGTAATACAGAGAGAGTGTGTGTAATACAGAGAGAGAGTGTGTGTAATACAGAGAGAGTGTACTACAGAGAGAGATAGTGTGTAATACAGAGAGAGTGTGTGTAATACAGAGAGAGTAATACAGAGAGAGATAGTGTAATACAGAGAGAGAGTGTGTGTGTGTGTAATACAGAGAGAGAGTAATACAGAGAGAGAGTGTGTGTGTGTGTAATACAGAGAGAGAGTGTGTGTGTGTGTGTAATAAAGAGAGAGTGTGTGTAATACAGAGAGAGAGTGTGTAATACAGAGAGAGAGTGTGTAATACAGAGAGAGAGTGTGTAATACAGAGAGAGTGTGTAATACAGAGAGAGTGTGTAATACAGAGAGAGAGTGAGTGTAATACAGAGAGAGAGTGAGTGTAATACAGAGAGAGTGTGTGTGTAATACAGAGAGAGTGTGTGTGTAATACAGAGAGAGAGAGTGTAATACAGAGAGAGAGTGTAATACAGAGAGAGAGTGTGTGTGTGTAATACAGAGAGAGAGAGTGTAATACAGAGAGTGTAATACAGAGAGAGAGAGAGTGTAATACAGAGAGAGAGAGAGTGTAATACAGAGAGAGTAATACAGAGAGAGAGTGTGTGTAATACAGAGAGAGTAATACAGAGAGAGAGAGTGTAATACACAGAGAGAGAGTGTAATACAGAGAGAGAGAGTGTGTGTAATACAGAGAGAGTGTAATACAGAGAGAGAGAGAGTGTGTGTAATACAGAGAGAGAGTGTGTGTAATACAGAGAGAGAGTGTGTGTAATACAGAGAGAGTGTGTGTAATACAGAGTGTGTGTAATGTAAATGGACAAAATCGGGATACAGCTGAATGACTAAAAAACATAAGAATACATAGTATATAGTGAAGTACCGTCACAATAATAAAATATAAACTTCAATGATTGCACTCACAAAATAGTGATGGATAATGCGCCTTTAAGCCCTCAAGGGCTGCAATGGTATTCACCCTCCACGAATAGGTTGCTCTGTCTTCAAAGAAGCAGTACGTGGGAAAGACTAAGAGACCCTTGAAAGTACGTCTCATGGAACATATAAACAATATAAAAAAAGGTATGACTACTCATTCAGTGCCAGTTCACTGTAATACGTGCCAGGCCTTCAATTGGAGAGACTTCAGGGGCTGTGGTATAGAACATGTGTCCCCTCATTGGAGAGGAGGTAATAGGGAATTGAAATTAGCACAACGGGAGACTTATTGGATCTATCATTTGGACACTCTGTCACCTAAAGGTTTAAACATCGATGTGGACTTGGCTAGCTTTATGGTTTAAAGTTTTTATCACCAAGTAAGTTGGGGATTTCCATCCTCTGCCCTTTTTTTATATTCAACTATACTTACAGTTGTATATATTTATTTTTTTAATCAATTTTTATTATTATATCATATATTTTTCATTTGTCTATTTTATTTTTATTATTTCATATTTATATTTATTTTTATTTATATTTATTTTTATTATTTATATTCCTTTTTTTCATTTTTTTCATTTCTTTTTATATTTTTTTATTTTTATTTTTTTTTCCTTTTTTTATTTTTTTTTATTTTTTTATTTTATTTTATTCTTTACTGTTTGTTTTGTACATATTATTAAACTTTTTTTATTATTATTAGTTAATAGATCTCTATTAATATTTTGTTTCTTTGAGGCAGAGGATTGAAGTCCTTTTTTCAAATCTGATGTGGTCTAATTTGTATTATGAGAATGGTTATTTTAATGTTCAAATTATTCTAAGACTGCTCCCTTTAGTTTTCTTAGTAATTCAAAGGGCTGGCCGTTTGGAACGCATGGGCCCGATCTTGAAACGCAACGTCAGTGGCTGTGACGTGCGTGGCTATTTCGCCGCCGGAAATGCATGTGTGGAACGCAACCGGAAGTTGTTATTTGGAACGCAGAACATCACCGGACGGATTACCAGCTGGTTTTAGCCGCGAATTTTAAGGTGGCGATCACCTGGAAAATATTGATTTTATTGAAGAGGGACTGCCTACAAAGGAACTCTCCAATCAACAATCGGACTGGTTATATTTAAGGGACTCTGTTGGGGGTGGGATTATGCATGCTTTGTATTTGACATATTGTGTATACTGCAAAAAATTCTCTCTGATGAAGTCCAATTTGTATGGACGAAATGCGTTAGATGCAGTATTATTTGTATACTTTTAACTATTGATTTTTTGATATAGGCTTATTAGTGCCTTTTAATAATAATAAAAATAAAAATAAAATTTTTTTTATACTTCACTGGCATACTCCCACTTCTTTGAAGACAGAGCAACCTATTCGTGGAGGGTGAATACCACTGCAGCCCTTGAGGGCTTAAAGGCGCATTATCCATCACTATTTTTCATTCAGCTGTATCCCTATTTTGTCCATTTACATATCTGCATTTGAGGTTCGTTTGGGGGAAACCTCTTGGGAAGCTGCATTCATCTCATACCAAGTTAAGTACCCGTGCATATTCCTACCACTGTGTTGGTTAGGTGCATTTGTATTTCTTGTGTTTGTATTTTTTTTCTTTTTCTTTTAATATAGAGTGTGTGTAATACAGAGAGAGTGTAATACAGAGAGAGTGTAATACAGAGAGAGTGTAATACAGAGAGAGTGTAATACAGAGAGAGTGTGTGTAATACAGAGAGAGTGTGTGTAATACAGAGAGAGTGTGTGTAATACAGAGAGAGTGTGTGTAATACAGAGAGAGTGTGTGTAATACAGAGTGTGTGTAATACAGAGTGTGTGTAATACAGAGTGTGTAATACAGAGTGTGTAATACAGAGAGAGTGTGTGATACAGAGAGAGTGTGTGATACAGAGAGAGTGTGTGATACAGAGAGAGAGTGTGTAATACAGAGAGTGTGTGATACAGAGAGTGTGTGATACAGAGAGAGTGTGTAATACAGAGCGTGTAATACAGAGCGTGTAATACAGAGAGTGTGTGTAATACAGAGAGTGAGTGTGTGTAATACAGAGAGTGTGTGTTATACAGAGTGTGCTTTATATAAACCCTCTATTGTTATATATGCATTGTTATACCATACTAGAGAATTCTATTTATATTATTTATAAATCTAATACGGCTTTCATCATGTTTAAGTGTCCTTGTTACAAAGGGGAGACTGAAATAGAGGCAGCATGGGGCTACTCTCGGATCCAAACCGCCGGGAGGCCCTGTCCCGCATTGTTACCCGTCTGAACACCCCTCTCTGGTGAGTAAACATTTCCAGACAGCTACTCCAAGTCATCTTAGTGTTAATTATATTTTATTAATTAGAATGTTATTAAATGTGCCTCAGAATATTAGTGTTTTTTTCTTCCCTTGGTCTCCACTATTTGCACTCACCTTAAAGAAAGCATCACTTAAGCAAAGGACAGTACTATTCTTAAGGTTCTTCATTATGATTGGTTGGTCATTCTGGAATACAAGTGGTAGATATAATGTATCCTTTTCCATCATGTCTTTTACAGCATCATCTGTTATCTGATTGGCCTAGGCTGGTTTCTGGGCCTGGCATTTCATCCATTTACCCTGCGGGCTTATATATCAGAAAACTCAATGGGATCCACCATGGTGGAAGAGCAGTTCGTGAGTGGTGACAGAGCTCTTTCCTACGCTCGGGAGTTTGCAGCACACAAAAAGGCAACAGGGTAAATCTTCCCGGGAATTAAGATAAGTTATAGGGGTTAATTTATACATGACAAGGTGGCACAGTAACATGGCAGCCTCATTCACTGGTTCATCAGCGTAGAGTACAGACCTGTGATATGTCCTGTAATGTGACATATCGCCTGGTATTTTATTTGTTTGGAAGTAAGCACAGTACCGCGCAGACCTGGCAAGGAGGGAAGAGAGCAATTTGAAGGGGAAACCCAGGCAAAAGAAGCGAACAGACAGAGCATTAGGGAGCGCTCTAGTAAGCACAGCAACGAATATTGGCCTATAAAAAAAAAACACAAATAGAGAAAACAGCACAGAGTTAAATGAGGACATTTATCTGTACAATGACACTCTCTCATAGAGCAGCAAAGTTCCTCTTCAGTAGAACTGGTGTACTGACTGAATACTTGCTCTGAATGTCCCCACCTGCAGGGGGTCTCCTGTTTCTTGGCTGGAAAGGACAATGCGTGGCCTTGGATTAGAGGTGTACACACAGAGCTTTGTGCGCACTCTGCCCTTTCCTGATGAGGCAACAGAAAGATACGTAAGTAATTGTTCATTTAATTCCTGAGAAGTGTGACAGTGGGTGTCTTATAGTAATGAAATTATATTGTGATATAATTTCTCTGGAGGGTTTTCAGTAGGAAAGTCCTCTACTGGTCACTGGTAACTGCTTCCTTAAATGAATTCACCTCTCCCCCTCTTCTTGTTTGCTTGCTGAGTTTAGTAATCTATTTTTATGTTGGCTTTTTAAAGGGTTACTACTACTCCCCTGTAGCGGTTAGGGTGCCAGGATGCCCATAGTGCTGTCTGTTATGTGTGCTTATTTGGGCAGATTGACCCAAACCCCCTGCATGTGCCAGTAAGCTCTTTGAAGTACATATTGCAAACTTGAAAATCACATTTCATCTTTAACAATACTCATCTTGACCAGTTTGGGGCAGCATTCATTGACTAATTGTGTTGGCTGACATCTTTATCTGATGAACTCCATCCAAATCTAGACGGTTATGGTGCCTAGAATGCCCCTTTAAAATGTTATTTTTGGTACCTAAAGTTAGAGAAGTCCATGGATGTGAATCTTTAGCTGCTCCAGCAATCTGGAGCATCTTGAGCATGTTTGTCAGTCACCTAAGTTTTTCAAAAGTTTATCGTATAATGTTTTTATAAATTGCCTTTAAATACATTTTATGTTCACCCAAGTATGCGATGCAGACCATTATCGTATTTCTAATTTCTACAAATTGTTCCCATAACAAATACTGATAAAATCCATCTTGTCCTGTGTTAAAGGGACACCTTAGACCCTCAAAAAACCTTAGCTTGCTAACGTGCTTTATGTGTACAGTATGTCCTCTTTGTTTCAATTTACAAAAAGTGCATATTTCAATAGAACTAAATTCAAGAGGCATCAATTGCTCACAGCAACTGCCTTGCAAAGACTTCACCTGCATTGGGAAGCTTGTGATTGAACAGAAAGTCTAGCTGTTATGCGATATACCTCCAAAGGAAATGCATAATTAAAGGAACACTTTAGTGGTAGGAATATAGATGTATGTGTGCCCCCCTTCCCTAGGTGTAAAGGGTTAAATAAAAACATTTATTTTGCTCGTCCTCTGCCAGAAACTAGAGGCAGCCTGAACCCTGCAATGCAAAATTGCTATTTCTCCAAAAAATGCAGTGTTTTGCAAGGATACGGGAACAGGAACATTGCACCCATACCACTTCAATGAGATGATGTGGTCTTGGTACATATAGTGTCCCTTTAAATACATACATGTTTGTATTGGAGGTATATCCACTTAACAGTGATTTTTTTTTTTTTTTTTTTAATGTCCCTTTAAGGTTTGTGGCGGCTTATTTTAAGCACCCATCATTATTATTACTATTGTTATTGGAATTTATATAGCACCAGCTTACTCCGCAGCACTTTATAATGTTACAAAGGGCGACATTTAACAATAAATAAGACAATTACAAAATGTTACAGGAACAATAGGTTGATGAGGACCCTGTACAAACGAGCTTGCAGTCTAGAGGCAGAACTTTATAAAGCATCTGTTTCCAACCCTGGCCTTATAGCTATTGTTGGACTACACACCACAACATTAACTGAAAGCCCATTGTTTGCAAAGATTTAAGGTGCATCTATTCCAAACTCAGCCGTCTTGCTAGGTTTGGACTTCACTACTGTGTCTTACAGAAATGCTTTGAAAAATGCTGGCATAGTGTAAAAATATTCAGATTGTTTATTAGTTATGTATTTAACCGTTTCTCAACACTTCACAATATACTGTGTTTTAATGCATTACAGGTGTAAATAATACATTATTTCTACAGTATGGTGTCTCTCTCTATTTTAAACATCAAGTAGTGTCTCCCAGACTGTGAAACTACAATAAATACTTTAGAATGGATTTTTCAATTTGCAGATAAGATAGAATGTTGTCTACTTTTACTGGTATAGACTGAATACTATCCTCCTAACTCTAGATTGTAAGCTCTGCCGAGCAGTTTCCTCATCAACATATTGGTTTTGAAACAATTTATAATGGTCTCATTTATTGTTAAATTTCCCCCTTTATAATATTTTAAAGTGCTACAGAACATGCTTGTGCTATGTAAATGCAAATAGTAATAATAAATGGTAGTACAGTTCTTGTGCATTAAAATGGCTTGGGAAGGAATTGTATCTTTCATGTTTCATTCTTTTGTATTGGTGAGTTTACTAATTTATATTCGTTGCTGCAGATGGTTAAAGGCACCAATGTGTACGGCATCCTGAGAGCCCCACGGACAGCCAGCACAGAATCTCTGGTCCTGAGTGTGCCCTGCAGTGAGGGCCAGAACAATAACCAGGCTGTGGGCCTCCTACTGGCACTGGCCTCATACTTCCGAGGTGAGACATTTGTGCAGTTAAACGTAGGATGTGATACAGGAACCCCGAGCGAAGACATAAACTTACAACCTTTTATTTATTTTTTAAATTAGCATTGGCTGCATAATCCAGCGCATCCTATATGACGTTCCTGGTTCTGTCTCTTGGGCTAGCTCTAACCATTAAAAAAAATAATAAAAGCTCTGACATGCACTCCTATAAAGTTTGAACAGCACCGATTTCCAAAGATCTGTTTTACTCTTCTAATTCTTTGGAAAAACATGTGCAGCTAATAGAATTCTTTCCTGTTTCATGTCCTTGTATCCATAGGGCAGATCTACTGGGCTAAGGACATCATATTCCTGGTGAACGAGCACGACTTGATCGGGATGGAGGCCTGGCTGGAAGGATATCATGATGTAAATGTTACCGGTAAATATTGAGGCCATTGCACCAGCCAGCATTTTCATAAACGGGCTAGTAATGGGTTAATCAGTTGAATTAGTTTGTTTACTGTGATAGTGATATTTTTGGGATGGGTAGGGTATTTATTCACATAACACTCCAAACACTCCACGTTTAGGAATGTGAAGGATTATTAAGGCAACACTATAGTGTCAGGAACACAAACATGTATAGTGGTAAACTAACTCTTTAGGTCCCTGGCCCCCTTAGATCGCATGGGAAAATAAAACTTTTTTCCCACATCGCAGTGGTCTCGCTGCAACTAATCTTGATGATCTAAGCCAATCTAATGCTTTCCCACTGTGAGGCTGTGCTGCGCATGCTATCTCTATCCTCATAAAGATTAATTGAATCAATGTATCTCCATGGGGAATGGACGTGTTGAATGCCAGTGCTGCACACTTCAGGGACAGGGTATAGACACCAGAACCACTACATTAAGCTGTAGTGTCCCTTAAATGCTTCTAAGGGTAAGTGCGGATTTGTTTAACCCCTTAAGGACCAAACTTCTGGAATAAAAGGGAATCATGACGTCACACATGTCGTGTGTCCTTAAGGGGTAATATTCATTTTTGCCAATAGTTCAGGGATACATAAAAACATCATCATATAAAGACACCTGTGTGGGGGTGGGGCTTGGCTCTGAAGGAAGATGGGCGCTTAAATCTTTCCTGCTCCACTGCCTCGTGTAAATTTGAGCTATAATCCCAATACATCTGCTAACAATGGGAAAAACTCAGACCCTCCACCTCCCAGAAGGTTCCTGAACCCATAAAGGGGTCTCTTACCCCATCACTCTGCCAATACCTCTCAACACCGGGGAACCTGGCGTCCCAGGCCGTGTCAGAGGAGGCCTCTGATGATCAGGGTGATGTTTCACCATATTTTTCGCCGGAGGATCGGATTTCACTCCCGGACCCTATTGCGAGCCCTGCTGACTCGCGCTGATATAGCAGCACACTCCAGACCTCAATAAGAGCTGACATCCAGGCACTCCGTGAAGACCTCCAGGGCCTGACCGATTGAGTGGTCTGCCTGGAGGCCACATGTCATATGCTCCAGACGTACCAGACGTATCAGTAGATACTTACTGATTTATTTACTGCATTATCTAATTGAAATATATAGTGTATACATAAGTGTTTTATCCCTTTTCCGTAATTGGTACGTGTCTAGGGTTATCTTGGAGCACTCAAACACACCCTTATTATATTTGTCAATCTTCAGTACTCTGCTTTCCAGGGACCCATCAACTAAAATAGCGTTCATTAGAGCACTGTGCCCCAGTGGCCTGTCAGAAGCTCCACCACAGGATATGATTTTCTGCCTTGAGCAGTTTTCCAAATGGGAGGCTATCCTGTGAGCTGCTAGAGAGGCTAGCACAATTCACCACCTTCAATCCGAGCTCCAGCTCTTTCCGGACCTCTCACCTGCCACGCTCCACTGTAGGAGGATACAAAGACCTCTTACCCGTACCCTACAGTCAAATGGGGTCAGATACAGATGGCTCTTCCCAACTGGACTGTCCGTTACTGGCCCTGTGGTGCTCTGATCTCATGCCGACCTGGTTCATCTGGGGACCCTGATCTCCCTTCCACCACTGAACCTGATATGGCCAGACCCGACAGAGTTCTTCTCACCGTCAACAGGCCGTACTACTGACCTACCACAGAGGTACCGCAGACCCCGCCAAATGACGTCCAGAAACCCAGCTTAAACTGCTACCACCAATACCCGGGCAGGATCCCATGTGCCTACAAGTCCCTGCTGCGGAAACGTCCCCTGACCTGCCTGTGATCTCCCCTCTCGTTACCCACTTTTCTTGTGTTCTACGCTTTCACCACCATGCTGCTTCCTTATGACTTGGTATGCATTGATATAGAAATCGTGTTCTTAATGCATGTTTAATTTCCGTTGAATGGCGTTCTGTTTCTGTTTATGGTTTTTTTCCACAACTAGCTGCAGAACGCCTGATGTTTCCACACCTAGCTACTGTGCATGTCAAATTCCGCCCTCACACTCACCTAGACACACACTGCAAATATATCCCCCTACAACATTGTTATGCCCAACTGTGTATGTTCTCTTCCCTATGGCGACAATGACACGCTGTGCGCATTATGAGGGCCTACCAGTGTCCCACTTATGCTATATTCCTCACCCTCTCCCACTCCTTCATCTCTTCCCCCTCTCTCCTACCCCACAGCCTGGAGCTGATGCCGAGTGATACACTACTCTCTTGGCTGATGACATTGTAATGCATCCGCCAGTCACTGCACACTGGATCTCATGGTCAGGATAGCAGCTATCTCGCTGTGCTGTTCACCTGGTTTACTATGAGCGGAATGTTGTTATGGTTTTTACACTTTGCTCTCACTGTTGTACATGAGCCTGTATCTCTAATGCTTTTATATCGCACAATGTTTATTACTGTTTAAATGGGCTCTGAACTTGACCTACGCTCGATTACCTTTTATATGACACCACGTTCCTAGGCATCGCACACAGATGAAGCCTACATAATGGGTACCGCTAACATGACCTGACTACCTCTGTAGCTCCAATTTTCTAGCTTCGGGATTGTCATACTGTTCGAGGAGCTTTTAGACTGAGGTATTGTGACACAAGGAAGATACTTGTTCCACGAGAGCTTTACTTCTTAACAGCTATTCACCGGACACTTGAACCTTTGCTGACCCCCAAAGTTTTATTAACTAATACTATTAGAGAGTGTGGGCTTCTCACACTCAGCTGGACCAAGTGGGATCCTCGACCCACCTCGGTCACTCCTACCGATTACGACTTGGGGTTCTATTATTCCCACCTCGGTCACTCCTACCGATTACGACTTAGGGTTCTATTATTCCCACCTCGGTCACTCCTACCGATTATGACTTAGGGTTCTATTATTCAATTTGCTATTCTAGCTTTTCCATTACTTGTGGCTGCTCCCTTGAGCTCTTTCTCCTACCACTTCCACACCTAGCAATTGGCTTCTGTCACTGACCCATCCACACGCGGCCCGGGACGACTGAGCGTAGTAGGGCTCTATTCCGCCAGGGAAGCTGTATACCCATGTCGAACCATGCCTCTCCCTTCCTGTAACAGACCTGAAACTGATATTGATTAATGCAAAATGCCTGATAAAACGCTCTCTTGCGCTTTGGGAGTTTAAGGCACAAAGAGCACACATAGTATACGTACAGGAAACCCACTTTAAAGAAGGCTCTTCCCCAGAACTGACCAATCACATTTACTCCATGGGTTATTACAGGAACAACCCACAGGGCAAATAAAAGGGCACCACTATCCTCATCCACAAATCCATCCCCTTTCACCATTGCGCGACGCTTGTAGGCCAAGATGGGCGTTACATTTTCCTCAAGGGATACAGATACACGTTTGCCAATATTTACGCACCAAACTCACGGCAACGCCGGTTCATGAAGGCCACATTGAAACAACTCATGACCTTTGCGGAGGGCATCCTGATTTTGGGGGGTGAACTTAACATTGCCTTACACCCTCAATCAGACACTTCAATATGCACATCGACAGTCCCAAAACATGTACTCCAGACGATCAGGAATCTCTACGACTCACAGACTCCTGCAGGGCTTTACACCCAGATTACTCACACTATTCTATACCCCACTGGACTATTTCTTTGTGCCTTACTATTTCCTCCACGCGGTATGCAAGCCCGATTACTGCCCAATGACCTGGTCCGACCATGCCCCACTCTCGGTGAGCCTGACGTCCCCGCTCTCCAGACCCAAGACAATCAACTGGAAACTGAATGAGACGCTCCTTGAGAATCCACTGGTCTCGCAGGATGCACACACTGCCCTGATGGACTATTTATCTGACAACACGACTCCTGAGGTTTCTGCCCCGACTGTTTGGGAAGCACACAAGTACACCATTAAGGGATTCTTCATGGAACAGGTAGCCAGGATCAAACGGGAAAGGGAGGAGAAGGTGCGCAAGCTTACCGAGGACATTCAAAGATTGGAGCTCCTGCACAAGTCCCGGACGATCCTGAACACCTTTCAGGACCTGGCCGCATTACGACGTGAACTGTAAACCCACAATAAAGCGCATTTCTGTCTACAGAGCGACAAATGCAGCAGACTGCTTACCTGAATGATCAACAAACAGAAATCGAAGTCCTACATAGTCCACTTACGGGAGGACAGAGGCTTGCCACACAAACCATGGCAGCTAACATTGCCCTGATCCTTAAAGAGGGCAAGGATCTGGAGCAGTGTGCCAGTTACTGGCCCATCTCGTTACTAAATTGTGATCTAAAATTGTTCGCAAAGATCCCGGCCACTAGATTGAATCCATACTTACCCAGGCTCGTGAAGTCTGATCAAGTGGGTTTCGTCCCCCATCTGGAAGCAAGAGACAACACAACACGTGTCATCTCCCTGATATACCAGGCTCATATAAATGACGAGAGCCTTCTCCTACTATCCACAGATGCAGAGAAGGCCTTTGATAGAGTGGGCTGGAACTTCCTCTTTCAGACATTATGGTTTATTGGACTGCGCCCGCACATGTACGCCTGGATGGCAGCCCTTTATGACAAACCGACGGCAAGGGTCTGCATTAACGAGGCTTACACCGAGCCTTTCCGGATCAGAAATGGCACATGCCAAGGCTGTCCGCTGTCGCCGCTGCTGTTTGCCATGGTTCTTGAACCACTCCTGCACACAGTGAGATGAAAACTCAGAGATCAGGGGGGTTTGGGCTTGGGCTGGCAAACATAAAATAGCTGCATACGCAGATAACTTGATATTTTTCATGACCTCCCCCGAGACTATGCTGCTAAACATCATGCGGGAATTTGACCTTTACGGGGACACTCCAACTTAAAAATAAATTATTATAAATCGAAAAAAAAAAAAATATATATATATATATATATATATACGGAAATCTGGCACTCTACCTTAAAATCAGCTTCTGTAATGACCTCGGTGCTGCACAGCGTAAATAGATATGGAAAATGATGAAGAGAGCACTCCAGAGGATATTTTCAATCAAACTTTATATATAGTAAAGGGGATCAACGTTTCGACCCAGGAGGTCTTTGTCAAGATATATATACACACACAAAAAGGAGGTGGAATAGGTAGTGCTGTGTAATATTAACGTTTAGATTGGAAGTAGGTTTTAGCTGCTGTACACACTCTGTGGGTACTCCTTACACCCCACCACATATAAGTATTCACCAAGACAAAAAAACTTAGGATCTAATAGGTGTTTCCACCTCTCAGACCTTCAGTTTTTAGAGTGCAGCGCTATATCCGAATGAGAGGTGAGTGAATTCCTCTCCAAAGTGTATCAAACACTTACCCTCTATGTAACACTTAGTATATGGTGTACATACAAAGGAAACAGAAACAAATATACAAATAATTGTGCAGTATATTAAGTAGTGTCCCAAAAGGTTTTGTGAGTTGTGCATATAAATAAACTCACATTTTTTAGAGCCTTTTCCAGTTATAAGGCTCTAAACTTCCAGGCGACTGTGTCTTTAAGGGTAGATCACACGACCCCTTTCTCAAAGGAAAAGTGTGTGTGTTCCTTTCCACATCATATGTAATAGACACAGATAATACAATCTAAGTGCAGTATCTTAGATAGTGATGGTAAATGCAGGTAAAATAGTAAGTGTTCACCTTGTTTAGAGCCTTTTGGTAACTGGCTCCAAGTGTATAGGCCTAGTGTCAAGTTGTGGGGTGACACTACCCCTTCCCTGGAATCACTTGTGCAGGATGCAGTCGGAAGTATAAAAATCTAAATTTATTACAGAAAAAAGAACTATAAAAAAATGATATTCTAGAAAACAAAAACAATAGGCGCATATAAAAACAATACTAATTTATTTAGTGGTCTATAATATAGGTCCCACTTGTAGCCAACTATAATATAGATCCCACTTGTATCTAAATTGAATCTGCTCAACGTCTCCATGCCTGCTACCAAAGCCGCTGGAGTGCACAAAAACTTCCAATTCCAATGGACGGAGAGAGCCGTGAGGTACCTGGGTGTCTGGATCACGAAAGGTCTCTCCCAGCTATATGCAACAAACTTAACACCACTACTGACCACGATCTGGAAGAACCTGGCGGACTGGACATTACCACATATCTCCTGGTTGGGACGCATCACAGTGGTGAAGATGAACATCTTACCATGCGTATTCTACCTATTCTAGACGTGGCCTATCCGGATCCCGACCGCATACTTCACATCTCTCCGATCGTTAATGATAAATTACATATGAGCCTTACGAAGGCCTTGGCTGTGATACCAGATGCTGACAAAACAAAAAACAGAGGAGGGGTTGGCAGTTCCCGACTTTCTTTTATACTACCATGAAACCCACCTGCAGAGGGTACCGGAGTGGGCAAAGGACGGGGTGGTTAAGCCATGGTGGTGGTGGAAGGGCTGAACGGGCAGCTGCCTAACCTGGACACGTTGAGCAATCCCAGACGGGCGGGCCCTTGACAGCACTGATCTGGATGAACCCCAAGGCGGGTACGATGAAATCGGGCCAGCAACCATGTGTTAGGGCTATTTTGGAGATATGGCATAGTATATCACCTAGATTGAGGGGTTCCTGTCCCCTCTATACCCTATCACTAACAAGCCCGGGAATGGAGGGTTGACACATGCTTCTTTTCTCATGGTCAGGTTCAAGTTCGTCATATGCTCAGGGGACATGAGATCAAGACACTGAAGGGAACCATGGGGACCTTCCTACATACACCCGGGAGTGGACGGTTGACACATGCTTCTTTCCTCATGGTCAAGTTCAAGTTCGTCATATGCTCAGGGGACATGAGCTCAAGACACTGGAGGGAACCATGGGGATACCCAAGCGACACCCCTGCATTATTGGTTAGGGAAATGACGTGACTGACATTTGGATACAACCACCTTTTTATACCCTTGAAAGCAAGTTCACCCGAACGTGGCATCACTCTTGTTTAAGTAAGAATGCTAAGCTTGTACAATTCGCTTCATAATTGAATTGCGGACCTTGGAGTCCTTACTTATCTTTATGTTTTATGTTTATTTGGCCATGCGTGGCTGTCTGATTTTAAATGTAATTAATGGAAAAATGGTTTCTCTGAATTTCTGCAAAAACTGCACCTGTCCTACTTTGAACACAGAGACCGATTAAAAAAAAAAAAAAAAAAAAACACATAGACACTTTGGTTTTAAATACTGTAAGACATTAATACATTTTCAGACAAATATTTGGTAAAACAAAATACAACAATTTCAGTTTCACTATGATGTATATTAATATTGAACGGGGAGCAGCCACTTGGCCGATTCATGATAATGAAAGGCAATTCATTTAACAACCTCTGTTACTCAAATGATTAAAGGAGATACGACCTTAATCTAATGTCTGGTGTTATCTCTATCCAGAGATCAAGTCCTCGGTGATGATGGGTCGAGCTGGTGCCATCCAGGCAGCTGTGTCTCTGGAGCTAAATAGCGACGTCATCACCAGCTTCGATGTGGTGGTGGAAGGGCTGAACGGGCAGCTGCCTAATCTGGACATGGTGAACCTTTTCCACGCCTTCTGTCAGAAGAGCACTCTGCTCTGCACCATCCAGGGCAAGGTAATTGTGTCAGTCGTGACTGCTTACTCCTCCTTGCTCTTCACTCTCTTTCATACTGCTCTGCAGTCAGTGGTAGCCTCCTTCAGGGATACCTGACACAACTACACAGCTTTCTATCACTCATTAATCTGACTTGGACATACAGCGAGTAGGATCATTTCACTGTCCTGTATGTGACATTCATATAATCCTGTTTCGTCCTCTTCATGTGACATTGATCTACTCTGCTTCCCTTTATGTACAGCTGCAGCGCAGTGACTATGACACCTTCCAGGGGTATGTTCACAACCTGCAGACCATGCTGCTTATGGTGCTGAAGCAGGGCTCTGGCCGGCCGCAGGGGGATCACGGCCTCTTCCTGCGATACCACATTGAGGCCATCACCCTACGTGGAGTCAACAGTTTTCGTCAGTACAAATATGACTTGAACGTTGTGGGAAAGTGAGTATTTGCCTTCTTTTACTGCAAGTTATCTGTTCATTGTTTCCCAGACTTTCAAGCAAATAATGACTTTCGTCTATTTCAATCCCCCAATCAAGAAGATGATTAACACATGTATAGAGGTAGTTGGCTTTGTTTTAATTTCCTTATAATAAAAATTCATGGGTCTCACTAAGCACCATCGCTCACTGCAGAGCTGTTGTTTTTTTTACATTACATTCCTATTTCTGAGTCTCCTGCACTGAGCAAGGTATGTCTTAAAACTGCGGCAGGTATAAAGGTTTCCCTAACTAGTGCTGACAAAAGGTGGTCCCACGTGCTCCCCGTGGTTTAGGAGAATGCTGTATACAGTCCCATTCACAGAGCTGCAAGGAGAAGGAAAGATAAGCATATTTCAGAAATGTCTTCCATACCCGAAAAAGCTCATATTGATATCAAGCAATCAGCAGTAATCCTCACAGTATGAAATTCCTGCATGTGCTTTAATGCATTTTAAATCTCAAAGTTTACCTTGCTTAATATGGATGCTCTAAGTTGGCTTTTGCCAAGAAAATAAATTCTGCAGAATTTAGTTACACAACTTTAGCTTTTATGTCCAATTGACACAAGTAAAGGGAATGAAACCGAATGAACCATCACTGCTTCTCTCTGCAAAACAGGGTTTCACCAAATGCTTGTCATTGAAAAGCAGCGAATTATAATGCTCTCTTGTCGTCACATTGTGTGTGTGTTGGTGTTCTTCATTGACTGGCTGAAAATTGTTCAGCCGTTTACTTGTTGCTGCCAAATGGACACGACTCTGCAGAGAGGAATCTATAATTAGTATTATTATTTTTTTGCATATTTTTATTCTGCAAAATACATAAATCATTGTCAATATAGTGTGGATGGTAGGGGGACATCTAGGACATTATCCCTGGAAATAAATACTCACCAGATGGTAGGATATTTGTTTCACATGGTTCTGACATGTGTCTGCCACTTGTGGGCCGTTAAAGGGACACTATATGCACCCAGACCACTTCGGCTCATTGAAGTGGTCTGGGTGCAGTGTCCCTATTGCACTTAGTGCTGCAATTTTAAACATTGCCGTTCTAGTAAAACTGCAATGTTTACATTGCAGCACTAAGTCTGTCTCCAGAGGCTGTCTACCAGACGTCCTCACGCTCTGCATGAGGACATCCAGCGTCAGCTATTTCCCCGTATGAAAGCATGTTGGAAGAGACAGGGCTGCAAACCAGCACCGTGGGACATTGGTGCTGGGGTCAGGTAAGTAAATTAAGGGTTTTTAACCCTTTTTTCCCACCGCGGGGAGGGGTGCGAGGGAGGAGGGAGGCAGAGAGAGCTATAATGCCAGGAATACAGCTTTGTATTCATGTCACTATAGTATCCCTTTAAGCTGGCAGACCATCTGGGAAAGGAGCTGTAGAATTGTTGAAATTTTAGATTTTCCATTTGGTGCTAGATGAGCCTTTTTTATCTTAAATTGGAAGAATTCCTTGATAGAAACAGTGTATCTTCCCCTCCTCCCAGTAAACCAGTTATTCTGTTTAATAATGCAGCAGAGGTAGATAAAATACACTCCCTCCGAAGCACTTCCGTTTTCAGGATGACTTTTCTGCTCCATAATCCTTTTACAGAGAAGTACGGTACCGGCACATGTACGTTGGAGCAATCCTTCTGTAGTGCTGTTTACATACAAATATCAGATATTTGTATTCGCAGGACTGACCATAGCTGACACCAATATTGAGTTCATGCAGAGATACATTTTAACACAACAGTAAATTAGAAATCGTTCATAATTTGCCATTTTATGAGAAAGGCTGCCCTCTCATTCTTGCTCCATTCTCAGTCTTGGCTCCATCTTTGTGGCATTATTAGGGACATGTTTTGAAGCTGAACTTAACCACATATAATTTGCGTACTTTCCTTGGAGTTACACCTAACTTGTTTAAAGCAACTGATCTGTTTTTATTCTTTTTTTTTTTTTTTTTTCCTCTCCAGGACCATTGAAGGGATGTACCGCAAACTGAACAACCTCTCAGAGCGTTTACACCAGTCGTACTTCTTTTATCTGCTGCCTTCCCTTTCGCGTTTTGTGTCTATTGGCATCTACATGCCAGCCATTGGCTTCCTCATCCTAATTCTCATCCTCAGAATATCCTTTGATCCTTCTGTAATAATATGCTTGTTATTTAAGCTCTTAAATTGATCCCATACTGGGCATTAGTTCTCTAGGATCTGCTTCTATCTGCTGTCTTACTGGCATGTTAACGGTACGTGAGAGTTGGACTGACTGACAGAGCAGCTACCTGGCCCGGACTATGGTCTAGTGCAGGGGTAGGCAACCTACAGCACTAGTGCCATGCACGGCACTCGAGGCTGATAGAGCCAAACGCACTCTGGCTTATCAGGAGTTCCAGTGAAACTTTAGATATCTGCTAATATGAAGAGGTGGTGAAGGACAAACCTCAATTTATGCATTGCAGCACATAGATCACTTCCTCCCAGTACTTGTGAATGGGAATCCACACTGTAGTAGAGCAGCCGTCGACAGCTATTGCAGCTCCTGTCCTTGACCTGTGCCTGGCCAGCCTGGTCCCCACTGGAACCCAGGGAACCCACCCACACTGCTAGATATACACAGAAATGTAGAATAACCCTCCCCTCATACAAATAATATGAACAGCCCACAAACGCAACACCACTAACAATATACATACATGCACACAACCCCACATGCAATACCCCAAACAGCCCCCACACACTACCAAACACACAATGTGACATATCCATCCACACACAATTCCACAAGCAGCCCTCATACACAGCCCACATTAATATGTATCATACACGATACCATAAACTACTAATTAACATATACAATATAATAGCTGATATACGCACAAATAGAATGATACAAAGCAATTACAGTAAAAATAACAAGCAGAATACGGCACCATACACACCTCAATTTAAAAAAATAGGATCGGCACGCTACGTGACATCACAATCCTATATCGGCACAGTGCTGCTAAAAGGTTGCCTACCCTTGGTCTAGTGAATGGGCGGGAGTAAAATTCACGCCTTCAGAGTGATCGCTATGCTAGATTTCGATTTCTGTTTCTCTTAAAGTAGAAATGCTACTTATGACTGGGGTGAGTTAAGTAAAACATGGAGAACAGTTTGTAGGAGATCTGATCTTGAGGCTTGGGTTAAATGGCAGTAATTGTCCTCCTATTTAAAGGGACACTCCAAGCGGCTTGAGAACTTATATGCATAGTAAAACTTACCTTAGCTTGCTCGGTGCACATGCTGTGAAGTATCCGTAAGGCAGATCATTCAGCTACCATATGTTTCCTTGCACAATAACGCGTGCAGAACACTCACATCTGCTTGCCTAAATGCTTTAAATACATTTATTTTTTAATAAAGGATCATTGCAATGCATATTTCACAGTTACAAAACAATCCAGCCTGCAGTACACCTTCCATTACTACATTTGGTAAATTCACAGCAACCATGCTACATGTACCCTGCAGTAGGGGTGGTAATACCAAAATACTAGTATGTCATGTGAGCTATTGCATTCTCTTTAACTATTATATTACTCCTTGGATCTATGGATTAAGCTGAGCCGTTCCGGAGCAGTGACAGAAGATGGAACGGCAGAAGGAGAAGATCAGGTGTGAATTTGTTTGGGAAGTGACTTGTGAATGACTTGAAATCGCAAGGGCTGATGTGTTTTAAATGCTAAATGTGCAAGCCAAATTATGCTTAAACACTCAGGTTTCTTGTATATTTATTCTCCTTAATCTTTTCCATGCAGGTGGCTACCTGGTGACAGTATCTGCTTAAAGTCACCAAAACAACCTTATAATAAGTGTATACATCATGCCTCTGAAGTCTCACCGCTCAATTCTCTGCCATTTAGGAGTTAAATCACTTTGTTTCTGTTTATGCAGCCCTAGCCACACCTCCCCTGGCTATGACTGACACAGCCTGCATGAAAAATAATGGTTTCACTTTCAAACAGATCATACTTACTTTAAAAGCTTTTATTTCCTACTCTATAAATTGAACTTTAATTATATACAGGAGGCTTCTGCAGGGCCTGGCAAGTTTTTAACAGAGCAGGCGATGATACATTTTACAGAATTTGCAGTAAAGTAGGTGGAAACATTAGATGACTCTTTACAGGAAGTGTTTAGGAAGGCTGTGCAAGTCACATGCAGGGAGGTGTGACTAGGGTTCATAAACAAAGGGATGTAACTCCTAAATGGCAGAGAGGCTGCAGGGGCATGTTCTATACACCAAAACTGCTTCATTAAGCTAAAGTTGTTTTGGTGACTAAAGTGTCCCTTTAAGTACAAAAATTAGAGAAGGGCACTGCAGTCAGAAAAACACGGCCTTTATTGTAACATCAGGATATTTCACAAAATTTCAGCTTCAAGCCATAGCCAAATGATTTGTCTGGTTTACCCTGATGCTGTGATAAAAGCTGCCCTTTTCCATTTGAAGTAGTGCCTCTTTTTCTTTCTTGGATACTTAACAGACTGGAAGAAATGTCATGTCCTTCTTACCTTGTGTCTTTGACCTGGTTTTGTGATGTTTTATAGAGCTCTAAACCTGGGTTTCTGTCCCTTGCCACACCTGTTGTTATCTGCCATGCCACGGGACTGAGCCTCTATTACCTCCCAACTCTGAGTCAAGAGATGGCCACGGACCACTTTCCAGTGTCTGAATCAGAGGCTGTTGTGCTCATTAGCATTGCTATATATGTAGCCGGACTGGCCCTGCCACACAATACCCACAGGTACTAATGTAGAGCTATTAAAACTGGTCATGGGCACTAGTGCTACCCTCTGTAGTAATGGCGGTGGGCTGGTACAATCAATACACCATACAGAATATGACACCGTACCGGGAACTACCAGGTCCATTGCCACTCATTGTAGAGATCTACAGACCAACAATGTTGCATAGGTGTTACCACTCCCCATTCATACCTATGGTACACACTGTATTGACAATACCCAGGCTGCGATAATGCTAGGATCACCCACTGTATGGATTTGTAACACCACCTTTGTTAGCAAGGCCTCTTTGGCACTTCATTCTACCACAATGTCACCCTTTCGGTCTAAGTGCACCCACACATATTATATATCATTTTTTTAAAGGATAAGTAGGTCCTTCTTTTGATACCCTATATGTATATATAACACAGTATTAAATATCAATATAATATTAAAAAAGAACAAAATTGAAAAAGAAACTGTTTTCTCAATTTTACGTTTTATTTCTACACTAAAAGAAAACTAATGAAATGTGTTCCCAGCTGACAGAGGGACACCTCGGATATCCAATGATGGCTGAGGATCCCTGGTACTAGCAGGGATTAAACAATGCTGGTACTTTTAATGCATGACCGTCTATGCCAGTGTTTCCCAACTGGGGGTTTCACGATGTTGATTCGCTATGTCAAAGGGTTCCACGGTAAAAATTAATTGGGAACCTCTGGTCTATGCCATCAACAGGATTTAACGCCCTGCACAGAATGTTATACGGTTCTTTACATCTAGGACAGACACTGCACTGACAAACACTAATTAAATTTACTGTATCCGTGAATGCCTAAAATACTATTTATGTGGTATTCATAGATGCACTGAGTGAGTATAATATTCATACTGGTGTATGTTCTGTTTATACTCACCGATTATAAGTACTGACTGGATGTGATTGCATTTATATTCCTGATTTGTAGTGCCTGAGTATTCCATTCATACATGTGATGGAATACAAGTATCTTTTTTTTATCATACTTGGCATGGGCCTTGTCAGAGTATTTTATCCACACACACATATACTGCTATGTGAGTGATGTGTTTATTAAGCCTTAACTGATCTCCTGTGGTCTTTCCTTCACAGGGCTCTAACCGGGGCTGCATCAGACCAGGGCTGGATGACATTGAAGCTTATTTCTCTCTTGTACTTGGCTGTTCAGCTGGGCTGTATTGCTTTGATTAATTTCTCACTGGGTTTCATATTGGCTCTTACTATAGTCCCTGTGGCAGCTATTGTCCAACCTACAGGTCCCAAGTAAGTGCATTCATTTACTACCATGAATCAATTTAAAATGTATAGTAAGTGCTTATCTACTTTCAGGAACTAAGTGTAAATGGATAGTGTGCCCATCTGTTACCAGGAACCCAATGTAAATGATTGGTGTGCCCGTCTGTGACCAGGATCCCAATGTAAATAGGTAGTGTGCCCACCTGTTACCAGGAACCCAATGTAAATGATTAGTGTGCCCACCTGTTACCAGGATCCCAATGTAAATAGTTTGCCCGTCTGTTGTCAGGATCCCAATGTAAATGATTAGTATGCCCACCTGCTACCAGTGTGCCCGTCTGTTATCAGGAATCCAATGTAAATAATTAGTGTGCCCACCTGTTACCAGGAACCCAATGTAAATAGTGTGCCCGTCTGTTACAAGGATCCCAATGTAAAAGATTAATGTGCCCACCTGTTATCAGGATCCCAATGTAAATAGAAATTGTGCCCACCTATTACCAGGATCCCAATGTAAATAGATAGTGTCCCCGTCTGTTACCAGGAACCCAATGTAAATAGTGTGCCCGTCTGTTACATGGATCCCAATGTAAATGATTAGTGTGCCCACCTGTTACCAGGATCCCAATGTAAATAGATAGTGTGCCCGTCTGTTACCTGGAACCCAATGTAAATGGATAGTGTGCCGTCTGTTACCAGGAACCCAATGTAAATAGATAGTGTGCCCGTCTGTTATCAGGATCCCAATGTAAATCGATAGTGTGCCTGTCTGTTATCAGGATCCCAATGTAAATAGATAGTGTGCCCGTCTGTTATCAGGATCCCAATGTAAATAGATAGTGTGCCGTCTGTTACCAGGATCCCAATGTAAATAGTGTGCCGTCTGTTACCAGGAACCCAATGTAAATAGATAGTGTGCCCGTCTGTTAACAGGATACCAATGTAAATAGATAGTGTGCCAATCTGTTACCAGGAACCCAATGTAAATAGTGTGCCCTTGTGTTGTCAAGATCCCAATGTAAATAGTGTGCCCGTCTGTTATCAGGATCCCAATGTAAATTGATAGTGTGCCCGTCTGTTATCAGGATCCCAATGTAAATAGATAGTGTGCCCGTCTGTTATCAGGATCCCAATGTAAATAGCTGCTCTCAGAAATAATGGGATAGTGTTTGATGAAAATAACATTGATCTGATGGAGAAATTGTGTGTTACTGATTTAGGAACGTTCATGTTAGCATTCAGCTACTGTAATAAAGTTACCTGTGAAAATAAATAGCCTACAAATATTGTTCTTTAGTGATCTTTTTATGTGTGAGGAAGTAACACAAGTCAAAGATTGAAGGTTTTCCTAGACGTTTATTATACTGTATTTTTTAATAGGCATGTTTACTCAATCTAGATCACAATGCAGTATGTAAATACCAAATGTATCATCTGGTGTTCATTTCAGGTTCCTACACGCAACTCTTCTTGTCCTGGTCACACCAGCGATCACCCTTCTAGGAAGCATCTTCCTGTATCGAGAGCTCATTGAGTACCCAGTCACGGTGCTCGAATGCTGGCAGATTTTCCTTCAGGCTATAGCCGGGGGCATGCTTGATCATTACCTCTATGGATCCTTACTTTTCCCATTTATTTCCTTCTTCGTGTACCCTTGCTGGCTGCAGTTATGGAATGTAGTCTTCTGGAAATAAAATCAAAGCACATGGTGTCCTTCAAAACCCTTCATTTCTCAGATTGGGTATGGTAAACCATAGCTGAGACGTCCTCCCGCCTGGATGAGAAGAAGCAAGGTTTTTGCAGCTTTCATGTCTCATGGTTTCTGACACAACAGAGTTCCCTCTAAAGTCACATCTGATGGAGATCAGCCTCAGGAAGAACTGGATTTGGTTATGTGGAGAGGTGAAGGAACAATCGTGTTAAGGATGAGGAGAGCTGGGTGTTGATTGCATGGGATTTTTTGCCTGAATGTTTTGTTTTTTTATTCTGAGAAAGAGCATTTGAGATTATTCACTAAGACCTGTTTGCCATGAAACATTCTTTGATGATAAATCAAAATCAGCAAATGGACAGAAGAATGTAATTGTTGATTCATCGGCCCCTCTGGTTAAATTATTTTTTCCCTCGTATTTAAAATCACTTGGAAAAATTAACTTAACTGCTTGATCTCCAAACACTTTATTTGACAAAAAAAATAAACAATACTTTTTTTTGTAGCCTTTATTATTATTGTTTTATGTTTGTCCTAATTCTACCTGATGTGACCGGAAGCAAAGATAAGGTTGGAGGCAAAACATTCCTTTATTTTACAAAAACCCTCTTTCTTGGCAAGGCTTTTATAAAGCTTACAGAGAACAACTTGGTATACTATAATACATTTTCATTTAGCCCTTATTCAAGATTATCATTCCCAAATGAGAATAAATCGTTAATAGCTAGAGGAACAGCCAAGTATGTCACATATTTTATTGTTGGCTTAAAAGACAGTCACCACTGCAAATCTCCACTGGCCAATGGCTAGGAGAGTTTAGAAATTTTGAGACAACCTCATGCAGTAACTCAACAACCTCATGCATTTAATAGTCTTTTATGGTATATGACAGAAATAGGATGTAATAGCTCAAAAGTTGTGTGAGGGGCAAATAAGGCCGTAAAGGAAATAAAAAGGGGAGGGGAATAAGTCGGTTATGGTGTGCCGGAACCGACGTCGTGGTAGGCCTGTAATAAAAGAGGGCCCACCCATGAGGTGTAATGAAAAATATAAATAAAGGGAGTGGAGGGTGGGGACATGCAAAACGTCAAAACAGAAACGGGACTGAGGAAGGTGAGGAGGGGGTTTAAATAGGTTAACATGCCCCTCCCACAACTGCAGGCCAAGCCTTCACATTTGTGTGAGGGGCAAATAAGGCCGTAAAGGAAATAAAAAGGGGAGGGGAATAAGTCGGTTGTGGTGTGCCGGAACCGACGTCGTGGTAGGCCTGTAATAAAAGAGGGCAAAAAAGGAAATCTGTAAAAAAGCAATCAACAACCTAAAATAACCTATCTGAAAGGTAACAGCTGAGTGAGTAATGAGGTGCCCGGCGCTTTCAACGGCCCTCTAACTTGTGCATGGGGAAGGAAGGAAAACATGTTGGCCATCTAGCGTAAACTGGGAGTGGGGTAGAGACGGTAAACAATAGACTGCATAAATAGGTGAGATTTCTTGAGACAGGGCTGCAAAATAAATAAGTAAACGTGGTGACTGTGGGAGATATGTGTGTCCACGAGAAACTGTACACCGGCTTGACAACTAAACTACCTAGTAACCTAGCTGAAAAGACTAGCGACCCCCAATTCCGGCCTACCTCACATCTGTGATTAAACTGTTGATCCAAAAGAGGGCGAAAAACCCAGTTTGATGCGCTTTCCAATTTGCAACAAGCTAGGGAAAAATTCCTTCTTGACCCCAGAATGGCAGTCGGATTTATCCTTGGATCAAGCAGATATCGCCCTACATAGAAAATTGATGCCCGGTCGTGATGACAAGTGAAATATAGATCTGATAGTAATTATAAAACTTGGATGTAGATGGGAAACCGGAGATTGAAAATTCCCAGAACTTTAAACCTAGAGTATGGTAATAAACTGGTATGGCGACATGGTAAAGCGTGTGACTAGAAACCTGTACCACAAGTGATAGGTAGAGTTGATGTAAGTAAGAGGTGGCAAAAGAAGCGAAAGTCAATCGCGGACAACATATCAACAAAGCCAGTACACGTGAGACAGGAGCCTCGAAGGGGAAGAAGGACCGAAAACCCAGGTGCTGCAAGCGCTAGAAAAATGAGAGCTGTACGTGAAAGAAAGGCAAAAACACGAGTTTACAAAGCTGGCAACCCACGACAAGCCCCGAAAATCCGGGAAAGGAAGCGGCTGCGGGAGAGGCCATAGGCATAAGCGACCCAACATGCGCGTGAGCGAGAAAGAGTGTATGTGTGCGGGCTGGCATACTAGCTAATGCCAAAAAGGCGAAACAATTAAAACTAGTTTGGTGACAGGTGAGGCCCTGCTAGATGCCAAGCGGCGTGAGAGGCTCTATCTATGCGTTGGCGCGAGGGGAAAGCGTGGCCACTGAAACGTTGTGGCGGGGTGGCGGCCTCTCGGTGATGGTTAAATATAAGATAGAGTGGGAGTGACAGGTGAGGCCCTCTCTATGCAATAGTGCGAGGCGACTAACTATGATTTGGCCCGAGGGGCGTAGTACCTCCGAGTATGAGGATGGGTGTTGGTCTCGCGGGACCACTAAACTAAGGCGAAGAAGCCAGGGAGGGAACTACAAACTAGTGGACACCTAAGACCCTTACAGCCAGCCACAGCTAACTAAGAGGGGAGGGAAGGCAGGGTGAGAGGACAGATGTGCTGAAACGATTATTGAAACCTGTGAGGGTGAACGAGGAAAACCGCAGTGCCGAGCGTAACCGAAAGCAGAGTAAGCACGACCGAGTCCGGGTGGACAGGCTGAAAGGAGCAAGCTCGGCAGTAGGTAACAGAAGTTGTGGTGGTGTAAACCCCATGGGGTTCACGAGACCCAGTGCGAGTGTGTGCGTGTGTGTGCTGGCATACTAGCTAAGCCAAATGGCGAAACAATTAAAACTAGGTTTGGTGACAGGTGAGGCCATGCTAGATGCCAAGCGGCGTGAGAGGCTCTATCTATGCGTTGGCGCGAGGGGATATCGTGGCCACTGAACGTTGTGGCGGGGTGTCGGCCTCTCGGTGACGATTAAACATAAGATAGAGTGGGAGTGACAGGTGAGGCCCTCTCTATGCAATAGTGCGAGGCGACTAACTATGAGTTGGCCCGAGGGGCATAGTACCTCAGAGTGCGAGGATGGGTGTCGGCCTCGCGGGACCACTAACCTAGGCAAAGAAGCCAGGGGAATTACAGCTAGTGGACACCTAGGACCCTGACAGCCAGCAACAGCTAAATCAGAGGGGAGGGCAAAGAGTGAGAGAGGGGACGTACTGAGCGAAAGAAAAGAGAGGGCGGGGAATGAAAAAGAAGCGTAGGGGCAACCGCGACTGGAGGGCAGCGAGAGCCCAATGGAGTCCAGCCAATTAGAATGGAAAAGGAGAGTGGTAGACCGTGCACACATGACGGGCACAGATTGTCGTTTGTGCAGAATATGTGAACCAAAAGTTATAGTTTACATAACTTGTTTAACAAAATGTTCTAACCCTCTGTGCACCAGCAGACAGGCAAGTCTAACGACAAAGTGAGTGAACCATGGGTGAGAGGGTGAGTGTCCCACAATTCAGAGGAAAGAACATGTGTGAGTGTTATACATCTCGTCTAACTGTCGGTTCCCCCAGCCTGTAGTTTGAACACAGCAACCATGAGGATACTTAACAATGAATGCAGGGTAAAAGCTGCAGCAATCTATCCGTTGTCAACGTTTTGGCATATAAGGGGTAGTTCCACAATGGGATTAGTCTTATCAGATCCTGCATGGATGTGTTATCTTAGAAAGCATCCAGAACTCGAAATTATTTTGGAAACAGTAAAATTCCAGCCGAGGAATGTTGGAAAACTGAAAAGCTAGTTCTTGTGTAACAAGAAAGGATAGGTTTTAAAATATAAAATATATCTAGTCAGATAATAACACATACAGGCTGGCAACACATTATGTTATTATACAAATTACAGTGTACATAAGAGAAAGCTCGCACCAGACAACCGACCATGCAAAAAATAAATTAATAAAATATACACACTGCTAACACAGGAGAAAAGGGGCAAGCTTCCATTATAACTGGTAATTACAGCGCTAGAATTACACTCCCACTACACAAAAAACTGACTCACTGATATTGATGGAAGGGTCCTACATAGGCAGACGAGCTATGTGTAAGCCCCTACCTCCCCCAAACGCTGCACCCGACAAATGTTGGCGTGGCCGCATGGACGTGCGACCGACGGTGAGTGCGACGCAAGACTCGTGACAGCGCCGGCGGCAGCGAGGGGGCTGACAGCCAGAAACGCCGGAGAGAGAGGAGCGGCAAGCCGAGCCGCCAGCGGAGACAACACCCGCCCCCGAGACCCGAGACATGAGCGGCAAGCACGGAGACCCCATGTATGGAGCGAGGAGCCGGAAAGGAGAGGAAGGACGACCCGACATGCAAAACGTCAAAACAGAAACGGGACTGAGGAAGGTGAGGAGGGGGTTTAAATAGCTTAACATGCCCCTCCCACAACTGCAGGCCAAGCCTTCACATATATCAAAGCAACGTGTGTGTTATATCAGGAGTAATACCAGCAGAATACTTTGGTGTATAGAGAAAGGGATTAATAACAGGAAATGGGCGATTATGATTTCCTTCACAGGTTAATTTTACGGCCTAGACCTCTGCCTAGTTTCTTGTGCGATTTATGGAGACACCTTTACAAAGACCTCACAACAGAGAGTTCAGCGAAGGCACTACATGAATGGCTCATGATTTGTGTAATAAAGCAGAGTGAGTATTAATTACAAATACAATCAACATTTTTCACTGATGTAAATTTTAAAGAATTCAATTCTATTTATTAAAGTTAGAATTATTGCGAATTCAAAGTGAATTTAAAATTTAAGGCGAAAACAGCTGAATTGAAAAATATCTCTGTTCCAGCTTAACATTTGCCTTACATTTTTAATTCTCTTTGAATTCTTAAGAATTCTCACTGTGAATAACACCAATTGTTTTTTTTGTTGTTTTTTTATCACTGAATTGTAATGAATTTAAACCTAAAAACCTGAATTGCTAAATTTAGGGAAGAAATTGGTGATTTAAAAAATTCTGTATCTCTGCTACAATCGCAGCTTGTATATATTTGTCTAAAAATTGCAATTTTGTTTCCAGTCCTCTTGAAATTGTTAATCTTAACTTTGCTGATTTGCAGAATTTTTCCACACTGACTACTCTGGTCTAAAATGTACAATAAATGTAAAAATTCTCTTAATTAACATTTTGCGAATAACGAATAACCTTGCTGCATGTCTGGGGTGTGGATTTCCCAATGCCCAATTAACTGCCAATTTATCCAAAATATACTAAATTTGGAAGGAATAATAGGCTGTAAATGTGGGGTTTAGCAGGATTTACCTGTAGTTTTAGGTAATATGTAGAGATTTAGTCACAAAACCGTGAATTCAAAGAAATTTTAAACAAAAATCTTATCAGAAATAACTAGTTTGAAAAAAATTACAATT